TTCCCTACATTTTTTAAAAAAGATTTGTTATTTGATGTGGACCATTTTTTAAAAGTCTTTATTGAATTTGTCCCAATATTGCTTCTGTTTTATGTTTTTGTTTTGGCCAGGAGGCATGTGGGAACTTAGCTCCCCGACCAGGGATCGAACCCGCACCCCCTGCATTGGAAGGTGAAGTCTTAACCACTGGACTGCCAGGGATGCCCCTCCCCACATTTTTGCCACCTAGGATCTTGAATTTTGGGAATCACAAATAAGAAATTATTGACAAATTGATGAACCATGAGTCTTTATGGGTTTCAGCGATTGGTAATACATTCATTTTGTTCAACTTGGTCATTACTGATTTTGTGAACTCTTCATCCTAGGCCATTTGGGATGAGAGGAGTAGGAGGTTTCTTTTCTTAAATTCAGTGTTACATGAGGGAGAGAACCATGCAGTTACCCCTAGCTGTCCTAATTTCCATTGAGCAAAAACCCATAAAACACAGTGTGAGTAGTTCCTTTTTCAGATTCTTCTTTGTCCAGCTTAGACTCCAGCCAGACCCTGTCCCCTTTCTCCAGCTTGCTTCCTGAAGCTTGCTCATGGCTGTCCTTGGCCTCTGCTCATTTGTCCCAGATCTGGATGCCATTCCGCATGAGACTCACCTTGACAGTATTCTGAAACAACGCAATGTCAAAGCCAAAGTGGTACACACCGGGGACGCCGCAGGTGAACACTCCAGTGGCCAGGTCAAAGTGGCCCTGACGGTTGTACAGAACTTCCTGGAAGACAATGGGCTGGGAGGGTCCTGGGAGAGGCCCACTCAGCTAGACAGAAAAGGCAGATTGAGGTAGACAGGGGCGTTTCTCAACTGCTCCAGGCACCCCAGGTATACCTCTTGGTCCTGTTACACCTGGGGGTCCTAGATCCCAAAATAAGCAGAAAAAAGAATGATAGAATTTAAGGTTTTGTATTTTTCAAAGTATTAATACATGAATTGCTTTTTCCTTCCTACCTTTCTTCTCACTGGTCAGAGCCTAGCTCAAGCATCACTGCTTCCAGAAGGCTCTCTTGTCTCCTCCAGATTTGGAAAAGTTCTATCTCCTTGTACCACATCTGGTATTGATTGTTACAATAGGTATAAATAATTACCACAAAGAATTGTAATCCCTCCCTTAAGTGACTGTCTCCTTATCCATACTGGGAACGAGGCATCTTACTTAATTTTCCTTCTAAATGTCATAGTATCAGTTGTAAAATTAGCACTCAAAATATGTTCAATAAGTGAATAACTGAATGAATTAGTATATGAATTATATATTAGTATATATATTAATATATATATATCTTTACTATAAGGCTGAGTATTAAGGATCACTATTGGAAGTTACCCAGACAAATCCAGGGATCATACTATTGCCAGAACTAAATGGGAATTTTGAAGAGTGGTATCCAAATATGCCTGTTTATTAGAATCAGTTGTGGAACACCATCCCACCCCTGGTCCCCAGTTACTCAGGGCCAGTCTACACTGCGGGCCTTTAGAGGAATCTCTGAGGATGGAGACTAGGAACCTACATGTTTAACATGTGATTCTGATGCTCAGCCAGATTTCAAAACCTTTGCCTTAGAGGTTCAGTACAAGTATTCAAAGCGGATGGGATCTCTGTGGGAGCTTAGCCCAGCACACCTCTCAGCAGATGACAAGAGAACAGGAAGTCAATGTATCTGCTGCCCACATGACTCTGGTATCACTGTATGAACCTCGGCTTACGCCTACACTGTATGACACCAATAGGAGTGCTTTACACTAGTCTAGAGATGGAGTTATGTCTCAATTTGGAGTGTACATCCAGTGTGTCTAAAGAGGTGTTTGAGCACACAGATTTCTTGGTGGTTGGAAGCCGTCTTAGTAGACGAATCCTATGACTCTTAAGAGTTCAGAAAAAGAGACCATGGTCAGTTGTTACCAAGAAATGGCTTACCACAATGACCAATATTCTCATCAGATCACCTGGAAGATTTCACTGAATCTATGAACATTGCAGTCAAAGAGAAACTATGAGAGGCTAAGAGAGCAATTGCATTTATTTTTCCACCTGCTAAACCAAGTAGCCCTGGAGGACCCCTGGGTCCTGGAGGCCCTCGGGGTCCACAAGGTGCACATAGCTGAGAATCTGCTGAAGATTTGACATCGGCCACAAGTAACAGGACAAATAAAGCTAAAACCCAGAAACCTGAAGCAGAAGAAAAATGAATGAAGTTTCAAATAGTTTGGAAGATGGATCAGCCTCTCTTAAAGAGATTGTGCTATAAATTGTGTCAAGTTACGTTCACAGTTCCAAGAAACTGATGTTATTTTGGTCTTTAGTTCCATGAAATGCTACATGTATCAGTGCTGTGACTCATACAGACAAGATCAGGAGGCACTTTGAATTGAGATGCTTTCAAGTCAAACACAGCAAAATCCAAGAAAATCAGCTAACTCATCCTATTTGAAACCCATGCTGCTTTTTCAATCTCATGCAAACCCCCGAGTTCCTCTCTCATGGACTCAGAGCCTCCTGCCATCTGTTTAGCAGTGATCTTTAAATAATTGGTGTGATTAATCTTCTTATGATGATGAATAAGCACCCGATTTGCCTATGTGTCATTTTATATTGTCTTATTGCTTTATCTCTTGGATGGGCTTCGAACATAGAAGATATATGACAAATAGTTCTTTGATGGTAAATGAATCGACAAATGCCAGATACTGAATTAGCCAACTGTTACTTCCCACTACCCTAAAACTTTTACTTAGTGCAGTAGCCTTCATTCCACTTTGAAGTACCAAGCCAATGAGATCAATATGCTTGCATTATACTAGCTTCTGTTAATGCACTTGTTATATTTTCTCCTTTATGACACATTGAATCTTCTACTTGCCCTCAATAATCAACTTTTATGGGTTACAAATGTATGCAACAACTACAGAAATTTGTGTCAAGAAACACAATCAACTTTAACACGATTAATATGCTCTTGAAAGTAGAGTGCTTCTAACTGTTAAATTATCAGTCAGTAACCACAACTTTTAGAATATCCTTTCTAATTCAAGAAAGATATTCATGTGGGATAGGGAGGGTGGGAGGGAGGGAGACGCAAGAGGGAAGAGATATGGGAACATATGTATATGTATAACTGATTCACTTTGTTATGAAGCAGAAACTAACACACCATTGTAAAGCAATTATACCCCAATAAAGATGTTAAAAAAAAGAAAAGAAAAGAAAAGAAAGATATTCATCACTTTTTGGCCTTAATTTCTGATTCAAAAGATGCTCTTCCAAAGCTGAAGTTAACTTATGAAAGGAAGTATGCTAATTTATGGGCATATTTTTAAAGTCAGAGGATGTGGATTCAAATCCTAGCATTGTTACCTCCATTCTGGGCGACCTTAGGGCAGTCACCTAACTTCTCTCCCAGCCACATCTATAGAAGGATGCTGGGAGCATCTGCTTGCCTTGTTTAATAGTTTTAAAGTTTCAAGAAGATATGTGTATATTCTTTGTCTGGAGTCTAGCAGGTACTTTATATATCTTTATATATGTATCTTTAAAATTATCCCTTATTACTTTTATTCTTCTTGCTATCTTACAGGGAGAGTGCTATTCTGATTTTAAAACCAGAGAGAAGGTTAATTCAAAGAGTTTTGACAATCTATTACATGAAAACTAAGGATATATCTCAAAACAATTTAAAAACAGCTGTGAGGATATCTTGAACATTTTGGCACATTCCATTGCTTCACATTTCCCAAACTCCTCCACGAAATAGTGGGGGGCTTGGTATCACATGCAATCATGTAGAGAAGGAGAAACTGAGGCCTAGAAAAGGTGATGGCTGTACTTTCTCCAGGCTCTTAGTTTTTGAGCATGGAACGAGGATTGAAATGCACATCTCCAGATTCTTGGGTGATTTGTTCTTTCACACAAATATGGTGCTGGATTGTCTATGTCTTGGGGGATATAAGTGGGCAACAACTTTTTTTTACAGTCACTGACTCCCCCATTCCATTCCTACTGATCCCAAAATAGATACACACACATACTCACACATACATACATACAAACACACAAAGGCCACACAGAGAATTAAATTAAAATCATACATTCAGTTGATTTTGCTGAGCTAAACTAGCCTTATTCTAAAAATATAATGCTAGGGCAATAAACTGACTATAAAAGGAAACCTTTCATTGAATTTATTGTGATGAGGAAAGTTGCTGAGGACTTTGTGGCTTAACTTACTTGGTGTCCATAAATGAAAATCCAGGAAAATGATTTCCTCTTGCCCTAAGTTCAAGACCCTCAAGAAAGAAGTAGGCATGACCTTAACAAACTATATTAATATAATTTGCATAAGTGACTATGTTTTGTTCTGTATTTCTTCATCATAAAGCTTGGATACAAACTTTCATCTAAATTTCAAAAACTGTCTTGATACCTACACCTTATTTCCTTCAGTCCTCATTTTAGCCTACTTGTTTTGGGCTTTGCTATAAGTTTTCTTAAAAAAATCTATACTCCTGTATTTGTTTATATTGTCCTATGATAATATGTGAATTCGGGCCAACTCTCACAAATTCTTTGTGGAATCAGAGGAAGTTTGAGAGACAGAGATAGAAGAGTTGTGTGCAGGGGGAGGCAAACAACTAAAATGCTTTAAAAACACTGATTGGATATTTCAAACATTAATAATTAATAACAATAGATACTATCAAAAACATACTGTAGGGGCTTCCCTGGTGGCGCAGTGGTTGAGAATCTGCCTGCTAATGCAGGGGACACAGGTTCGAGCCCTGGTCTGGGAAGATCCCACATGCCGTGGAGCAACTAGGCCCGTGACCACGACTCCTGAGCCTGTGCGTCTGGAGCCTGTGCTCCGCAACAAGAGAGGCCGTGATAGTGAGAGGCCCACACACCGCAATGAAGAGTGGCCCCCACTCGCCGCAACTAGAGAAAGCCCTCGCACAGAAACGAAGACCCAACACAGCAAAAATAAATAAATAAACTGCTACCCCCAACATCTTCTTCAAAAAAACACAAAAACAAAAACAAAAAAACCCATACTTTATATCATATCAGTTGATATTGTTGAAGGTAGGGAAGTAAACTCAGTTGGAAGATAATGAACAAGGATGATCAAGAAGGACATAAGTCAAGAGAGATCTGGAAAGGGACAGAAAACAGCTCAATGGGAATAAACAGTAAACACAGGGATAGTCACAGTGAAACACAATTGGGGATAAAATCAAGACAAAGAAAAATAGAAACGGAGACAGATACTAAAGAATGGTAAAGAGACAAAGAAAATTTTAACATGTAGAGCAATGTATTATACTACTGGTTTGATTATGAGCATTATAGTTTAAAATTTTAAAACATAATTGAAAAATATAATGGATTTTCTCACTCTCCATTGTTTTGTTTATTTATGTCATAATGACCTTGATTTAATTTGAATGGTTTGACATTAATTTCATATTAAAATCAAAGGTCAAACTGGTGTTATTCAAGGGTCAACTGTATTTACATTGCATTTACATTGTATTTACAACTATTTACATAGCAGTTACATTGTATTTTCATTTGCTTCACGTGAAACCAAGGCAATATTATTCCCCTTACACATTCCCTCTATTCCCTTCTAGTTGGAAAAATTTAGAAGATTTAGTTCTGTTTCTTTCTTATCTTGGTCTAATCCTTGCAGAGTTTAGTCCCTGGAGGGTTTTTCATGAGACTCCTCAAGTTGGAGACTTCCTGGGTCATTACTTCTATCCTCATTGTCCCATAAAGTGACTAAATGGCTGCTCATGTATGAACATATTGGAAAATGCCTTCTGTGGGGAAAAAGCAGCTTCTGTGTCTTAATTTCCTTTTACTTCTCTGGCATCAGGTTTCCCCTCTAAACTCAGCCTTGTATCTTTCTTAACATAGTGTTAGCTTTGAAATGCTATTAAGGCGAATAGAATATCTGTATACATATAGATAGATGTATATCTCTATCTCTATCTCTATATCAGAGACTGGATAGCTGTTCACCCAGACTGCTTCTCCTTTATCTTGGTTGCTTATGTAAACTCTCTTCACCTTGCAGTTAGTAGGGACCATACAACTGGCTTCCAACCCACACAGTATCAGCACTCAGAATGGGAGCCACTTGAAAGACTTGTCCATAGATTTCTCCCATGTATTCCCATCCATCTTCTTTTCTCTTCTGCTACTTTGAAAGTGGAGAACCTAGAAGCAATGAGGAAGAAGATGCCCATCCACAAGAAGGAAGGACCTTGGTTCTCTTACCACGTGGAAGAGATTCACCCTTTTTTTCAGAAATACCCTTGCAGAATTTTTGTGAGCACTGTGTTCAGCTACTGAGATTTATAAGTGGATCTGTTATAGCAGCTATTGTCACTTTTTCTAATACAATATTTTAAATCATTCTCATGTTTCAAAAACAGGAATGATCACAATCACTTATCCTTTATTACTGGAAAGGGAAAATTCCAGTTTTGCCTCGGCCCCCTTCAGCAGTGCAAATAAGCTTGACAGAGCCTATGGGGTGAGTAACAGAAAATTATTTACATGGAAGAATGTACAGAGAATAAGATCTTCAGGCACATAAAAACTCTGAAAAAAGATAGGATGTGACTAGGGCAAGTGGAGAGAGTACATTGATCACATTTTCTCGATGAATTGGGGTCCAATGAACTCTGTTGCCGAAATATCGGCTTCCCTGTGCACCGATGCCGAACAGAAATACGGAGATAGAGATTTTTTTTTTTTAACATCTTTATTGGGGTATAATTGCTTTACAATGGTGTGTTAGTTTCTGCTTTATAACAAAGTGAATCAGTTATACATATACATATGTTCCCATATCTCTTCCCTCTTGCGTCTCCCTCCCTCCCACCCTCCCTATCCCACCCCTCTAGGTGGTCACAAAGCACCGAGCTGATCTCCCTGTGCTATGTGGCTGCTTCCCACTAGCTATCTACCTTACATTTGGTAGTGTATATATGTCCATGCCTCTCTCTTGCTTTGTCACAGCTCACCCTTCCCCCTCCCAATATACTAAAGTCCGTTCTCTAGTAGGTCTGTGTCTTTATTCCTGTCTTCCCGCCCCCGGCTCCTTCGGGAATCGGAGAAGACTTTATACATGGGGCTTGCAGTCTGGGGTATATGATAAGGATCAA